GCTTCTTCTGAAGAAGCTGGACTGACGTTATAACCACTACGACTCACTCTTTTCCTTCTTTAAAGTTTAAACCCATTCGTCGTTTCTATATTATCAATCAATCATTAATTTATAGGGACGCTCATAATTATTGAGAATATTTTACTCAAATAAAATACTAGGACTAAAGTTTTTCTAGAAAAATAATTAAAAGTTTCGAAATTTTAGAGAAATACAGTAGATTTTAAGATTTTTGTTTTTAATTTTTATATCGGCAAACATTTTGAAATTTTCAAAATTGTGTACTTGTTAATTAATTTGTTATACTTATATGTAAATGTATAGTAATTTTTAAATCAGTTGATGATACTATGTATTTAAGAATTCATAGAATTTGTCACGATATAGATTTTTTCATCTGATTTTTAATTAAAGGGATCGAAACCAAAAAAACGAAGTAACAAAAATGGAACAAAGTCTTAACCAACAAAAGTATAAAAAATTCAAAGAAGATACGAATTTTTTACACATCTGTATTTTGTGTCCTAATAAAATCATCTGTATTTTGTGTCCTAATCCCATCCCTTTCCCCCCGAATTTCTTCTCAAAAACATGTCTTTACGGTCTACAAAAATAAATCATCTACGACGAGATATATGGTTGTTCTCGCTCTATTCTTTTACAGGCGTAATTTTCTAGTGATGAATAAATTTAATAGTCCAAAAAATGCAGAATCCGATACGAAACAAAAGTATGTATAGTAAAATACTAGCAAACAAGAAAACTCATAACGATACTGTCATATTTAACGACAAAAATCCGGTCAACAAAATCGGTAAAGTTACCCATGATTTAGTAATAGATTTTAAGAACAGATTAAAGAGTGTTTCAATCTGTCGGTTATAACTTATAACCAATTTGCTGACAAAAGAAACTTTTGTTTGCTTTTTTATCTCTTTTTCAAAGATACGTAAATCTGTCTTGTAAGTCCAGAATCATGATTAAAGCAAACTTTTCTCATGATTTTCAAAGCGAGTAGAAACACATGGTCTTTCCAAAAGTGTATATAAGCATTAAGCACCACGGAACCACCAACCGGACTGACATAAGGTTGCACGAATACATGTATATGCTAGGTTAGCAAAAAAAACGAATACATGTAATGCTATCTAGAATACAAGTATCTTTATTCTTCACTCTCTAACCCTATAATTTAATAATACAACTATATGATACTCCATTAAATAATGTGTATACATTTATTCAACGGCAAAGAACGGTGGGAGAATCATTGTCCCATAGAAGTATATACTCAAATACTCAATTTGGTCTATGTATAATTAATTTTGAATCCAAAGATGTCGTCAAGTAAAGATGTTAGATATAATGTCGTTTTCTACGTACAAAAACGTGGAAGATGCTCTTCTTTCTACACCTGAGTGTTGTATAATGCATGTACACACGAATTTTCTCTAGAATATACCACAATCCACCCAACCACTCACCGACACATTTCTCTTGCTTCTTTTAATTTAATGCCATCTTTATTATTCAATTCTTTTATCATTCTTCACATTGTACATTTCTCTAGGCGCTTCGTGTTGATCGTATTTATGGGCTGCGACAAACAAATCATGCGGCAACGACAAACAAAGGAGCAAAATTACTTTTCGGAAATACCGATGTATTGAATTTCATTTGAATTAATTCACTGAAATTCCAATTATTAATAGAAGTATAGAACCATTAATTTGCAGTAGATAGTTTCTACGAAAAAAAATTCCACTACTAGAGTTTCTATCAAAGGTATTAGTAGTTTCTAACAATTAACACATCCACTTTAGTAAATTAGAACTACTGTAGTCTATATTTATTACCAGGGCCTCGAACACAGAGAAATTATAGATTGATTTATATTGTTTATATATCACTCAATGTTCATGTTCATTTTTATTGTGAGATATATTTTTAATTTACTCTTTTAGAGAGAATGTATTTAATAGCTATTTGTTTCAATAGAATTCCATTATAAAATTATTTTCGAATTTAGATAAACATGGCCAATTTTGAGTCGGAGTCGATTTTGATCGTATCAGTTTTTGGGTAGGTTTGGACTGGACAAAATATGATAAGAGTTATGATACCATTTAGATTATAAATTTCTAACTTGAAATTGATTGACAATAAATAGATTGATCATATTAGAAGATTACATTAGAACATAAACTAAATCTCTCTATTGAGAAGAAGAGATCGAGATCTCTCTCTCGTGAGAGGATTTGGAAAATATCGATGTTTCTGTTATTGAATAATGAAGAACAATACAACGATAATATAGCTTTGGTTTAGCACATAAGCCTTAACCAATTCACAGCTTAACCGGAACAAACCGGGTTTACACATTTAA